CGTCGAGAGCCCCCGCGCCCCTGCAGCAGGACGGACGCCCGACGCTGCCGCCCACACCATGGCTTCCCTGTCCACCGGGATGAGCCTCACGTCCCCAGAACCTTCCATGGCTCCTCGCCCCTGCGGCAGCTTACCTGAAGCTGGGCTCTTTCACCAAGGCCAGCACCGCTGTCACTCCGCCAAAGGAGTGGCCCATGACGGCGACTTTGGTCAGATCAATGCTTTCCTGCAAAAAGGAGAAGGCTGAGGAGCCTGTGCCCAAACCTCGCTGCAGAAGGTTCTGAATTAGGGCAGAAAAAGCTGAGGCAAGAAGACCAGCAAAGCCCCACGGCTCTGCCCTCTGCAAGGGACCCCGTGTCCCCTTCTAACCACTGCTGCAATGGGACCCGGCTTCCCCGGCATGCATGGAGGAGAAAAAGGAGAAGAGAAGCACCACGAAGCTGAGACGTGGAAAGCTGTGTCTCTGCACAGACCTTGTTTGTCCCAGGAGAAGAAGTCTCACGCAACAAGGACTGATCCTGCCAGCAAAGGGCACCCGGACCCCCCCTCAGCCAAGCGACCCCCCTGCCTGGTCCTTCAGCACAGACAGACCCAGATACCTTCAGCAAGGAGAGATCGAAGTCCTGGTGAAGGACGTTCAGGACAGATTTACCGCTGCTGATGTCCTCGAAGAGCCGGAGTGCTCGCACACATTCCTCCGCTCTCTGATGAACCTGGGAGCGAGAGAGTTGCCCCTTCCCCAGTTAACCCAGCTCCTCCACCCCACAAGTTTGGGGCCAGATCCTGCCCCTGACATCCACCCATGCCCGTCCCTGATGGTTGGGCTTGATGATCTGATGGTTGGACTTGATGATCTTCGAGGTCTTTTCCAATCCATGGTTCTATGATTCTATGAAAACCGCAGAGCTCAGACCCGGCAGGGCTTTCCCTGAGTTACGGCAAACGTAAAAGCAAGCACGAGGCTGCACCGCAGCGGCTCCCGTGGGGATGCAGTGAATTTATTGGAATAATTTCTTTTTTTGTTTGTTTTTAATTCAGTTAATCTGATAGCACAGACGGCTGGAGAGGAGCACAAGACCTCTGCACCGGGGTGGAAGCAGCGGGTCGCGCAGGGC